GCATTAACACACCAATTTGGGAGTTGAGATAGTAGGTAAAGTGGGTGAAGCGGAGGACATGTGGAAGCTAATTGGAGACGGGTAAGGATACACAAAATCCAGGTCAATTACATATGTGGGAATGTTGATGGCTCTGGTGGGTTTTAGCCGTGGATAAATGGTTTGTATACCTAAAGTCCTAGTCTCAATACCAATATGTAATATGTATGTGTTTACGGCACCACCATATGTCAATTCACTTAAGTATTAATAAAAGTTTGAGGCGGGTGCTACACCCGGGGTATCCCCTAAAAATTAAAAAAAAAAAAAAAAAAAAAAAAAAAAACCACATCTACAAGCTGATCCAGAAAATATCCAAACTAACCAACAATATATTTTCCCCATAAACAACACCAATATAGCAAAATCATTTTTAGATAAAATTCAAGGAACTTATAGCTTCAATATATCTCTCCCACCAGAATACATAAGTGTAAATCCTACCAATAAACCAATACTCCTTGTGAATCCAAAAAATATTACAAAAATGAATCTTACTATTCCAATCAATACCCCTAAACAACTTGTTAATATCGCCAGAGAACTCTGAAACTACTACTACTTCTCACAAATCCCTGCATACTGGATTAAAATTAAACCCAAAACTAAAAGCATTACCAGCGACAAACTACCTATTCCCCTAGATATAAACAAACTTAAAGAACAACTTCACCAAATAAACCCTACCCTTACATCTCTTGTACTTCTCTATAATCACCAAACTGTACCAGATACTCTTGCTAAAATCAAGAAACACTTCATTATGACTACCATTCCTGACTATCTATTCAAATTCCCAGACCTACCCCAATCCGAATAGAACATTTTCAATAATTACTCACCTTCTAACTCTTACCAAACTCAACCTAAGAAATCCACAACAATACAACAGTCCTTGAATCAACCCCTTCCTAATGAACAATAACAATACTGATCTTAATAATAACCTACTAACTGCCCCACACACCTACTTCCCTCTTACAGATCAAATACCCACCTTACCTTCTCAATCAAACTATGCACAATTAAATGTTATCAATTATAATGTCTAAGGTATTAATCAACCACTTAAACTCCAACTATGGCTTGAAGAATACTATCACTTAAATACAAATATAATCTTCATAATCGAGACTAAACTATTCCAATTATCAAATTAGTGATTTGAATCGGTTGGCCTATAATCGGTTAATCGACCCGAACCGAATAATTTCGGTTAACTGATTGAGGAAATTCTTAATCGGTTGACCTGATACATCTAGTTGAAATTTGGGTAATCGGTTGAGGAGAGAGTAAATGTTCCGAAAAGTTTCGAAAAGTTCCGAAAAGAGAATGAAAGATGAGCAATTTCCGAAGATAAAACGAAAAGTAGAGATAGGCAATCTTAGCCGGTTGACAACCGGTTGAATAAAATAATTCGGTTCGGTTAACCGATTAAAGAAATTTTTCTTGGTTCAAATCACTACATCAAATCACTCTTCCTAATTAATCAATCCCCACTTTAAAATCTTCACAGCAAACAGTGATATGTCTAATACCAATATCCAGAAAACCTGTATAGGAATGTTGCATCTAAAGTAGCAATTTATCTAAAGTAGCCACTTTAGATTTATAAAGCAGCACCTGACTAAAATTAGGCCCCTAAAATTAGATTTTCATGCATGCACTAAATCGTAATTCTAGCCCAGGGCTGCTTTAGATAGAGTGGCTACTTTAGATATAACAGGAACAGCTATTGGCCTCAACCACTATTTACAACCCTACATTCATAACATCAGCACAATGTACTCCTTATTGACCTCTTCCTACTCTTGAACAATCATACAAGGTTAATCACAATTTATCTCTCTTCCAATATTACTACACAATCTAAAAAAGCTCAAGACTAAATAATCCACTGGATAAGCAAAGAATAATCACAACACTTTAACTTTATTATCGCTAAAGATTTTAATAATAACATCAAATATGCAAACTGCTATCACTATGCCCCTCTTATTCACTATCTAGCTAGTATTAGATTTATCAGCCTACTCGATATCCATAATATACAAGAACCTACCTGGCACAGAAACCTCTATTCAAGCCAAATCGATAACTTCTGGGTTAGCCCAGAAATTGCACTATCCTTCATATCACCACTCTTGCTCAACCCCTCCTCATCAGCCAACAGTGATCACAGAATCTTAATTACCTCATGGCAAACAATTGCACTTCAAAAAGCCCTCTATATCAAAAAACAACTTCGAAAAATTTACCAATATGAAAAAACTACCAACAAACAATGAGAAAATTTTGCCCAGTTTATTTCTGCCCACCTACTAGCCTTCTCACATTTTCTCCAACCAATTCCAGATAAAACCAATCTCAATAAAAGCTGGAATAACTTCTGCAACATCCTTAAACAAGCAGCTGATACATACTTACCAATAACCCATTCCTATCCTTGTAACTTTTACTCATATACATATAAAGCCACTATACTCCACAACATTCTGAAAAGGTTAAACCATATAATCCAACTCCTACACCCTATTGATTTCAACCATATCTCCAAACATAAATATCACCCTACAACAAATTACAACCCTTACCCAATTCCCAATGCCAACACTCCATCCCTCTCATCTTGAAAGCCAATATTTCACACTAACCATCAAACAAATAAAAGAACTACACAAAGCACTTTATCAAGCTTGTAATCTGGAGAACAATGTTCAGAAAAAGACTACAATCCAGGCAATATAACTAAATGATACAATAACTTTACCTCAAACATGATACTTATGATTAATAGCATATTTAAACATAATCAAACCCCAGTCTTCTTCACCAATATCATGACCCCCTCAAGTATTATAACCCAACCAAACAAGATAAAGGACACAACTAGACAACACTTTCAAACCTGAACCAAACATAACCCTTCCAACTTAGCATACTAGAACAAATAAGATCCACACTACCAACTGCTCCAAACTATTCTCAAAAATACTTACAATGTACTCATAGCCTCTATAAATATAGAAGAAACAAGAAATACAATCAATACATCACCAAATAATAAAGCTACTGGACCCTCACTTATCTCTAATAAAATGCTTAAAAAACTGCCTTAATTAGCTCTTTCACAATTAACACATATCTTTAATAGTTGTCTAGAACTACAACATATACTCTCCTACTAGCACAAAGGACTAGTTTGGCCTATTATGAAAAAAGGCTACCTTTCTAGAGACCTTAGCAAAACACAACCTATTACCCTAATCAAATACACTAGAAAGATCTTTACAAAAATTCTGACAAATCGTTTAAACTAAATTCTTATAGTCCACAATATCCTTGACCTCTCTAACAATATTACACTTCCTTTTACTTCTACTATCCAGCCTATACAATAGTTAATCTATATTCTTAAAGATTTCTGTACTCAAAAACAAGAGCTTTGAATCATATTACAGGACATGTCCAAAGCTTATAATACTGTTCACTTCTTCTTGCTCCAAAAAGCTCTAGAATACATTTGTATATCCCAAGAATTCATTTATCTAATTACCAACATACTCTTCTCCTGCTTCAACCAAGTTATTACTTCTCTTAAAAAAACCTCACCATACCCAGTTCAAGATGGACTTGACCAAGAGGAAACAATATCACCAATTCTATAGTAGATCTACTATGCTTTGTTAATATACCGGATTTCAACACACTATCAAGGCTATTCAATAACTACACAACCTCCTACCGGACACAATCCTATTACTGCCTCAACATCTGTTATAGCCTTTATAAACAACACTATCTAGATTGCAAACAATAGACTTACTCTAGAACACATACTTAACACTGCTCTTTCCTTTTACAACTTTGTACAAATTACCATCAATCCTCTCAAGTCTATACTCCTTCATAACAATATAAACAACATGGCTCCTATAATTTTTCAAAACCAACCAGTTCAAAACCTCTCTCTGAAAGCTACATTCAGATTCTTAGGAGTTCTTATTGACTACACTATTAACAATAAATTTATTATTTGCTAAATTAAACACGAATTCTCACTAGAGCTAAACAAATTAAAATATGCTCATATCACCAAAAAACAAGCTATATATATTATAAATTCAGTTCTTCTAGCATGACTTTGCTATCTCCTTTCAAATACCTACCTGATTGTCTCTGATATTAACCATCTAAATATATGCTACACAAACATTGTCAAGTCCAAGGCAACCCTTTCAAGATCCACCCCCAACTCTATACTATTTTTCCCATATCTATACTCTCTAACCAATATTAATCAACTTCAACAAACCTGCTATGCAACTATCCTCAACAACCTGCTAAACTCAAGCTTAACACCTCCTACCTTTAATATCTATCTACAACAGCTACAAAATGATGCATATACTAACCAATCAATTCTTATATATATGCCTCAATTTACCTATATAGAATACAAAACTTTTACTACCCACCTTATTCAAAATGCTCACATGATCAACATCCAATATAACAGACTGGCAAACCCATGGCCCATCCCCATTCAATCACCAGAACACTCTATCATTGCTCTTTTACAATATATTAACAACTATACACTAATAAAAAAACAACTAAACCAATACAAAATTTGTGATATAGAACAATTTACTAACTACAACAATTCAAAGTCTCTGGAATGAACTGAGTTTCACTACAATATCCAAAAGATATCTCGAGGAAGAAATCCAAAATGGTTCACAATAATTCAAGATGCTCTTCAAGCTATAACTACACTATTCTTAAATCTAATTCAACCTAATCCCTACACCTAAAGACCATATTGCAAACGATCAAAATATAAATAGATTATAACACCCCAACTTACTATTAGAAAAATTATATCTACTACAGAGAACCTTCTAAAAATCAATTACTGGTGCACTGTCAATAACAATACTCTTACCTGCTATAAGTGCTGTTTACTACATGATGAAACCACCAAAATATCTAGCTGTTTTTTTTTGGACTCTGCACAACCTAGTATTCAACATCCAAGTGGATTCAAAATATTGCTGGCACAAACATCAAGACTTTATTTAAAAACCCAAACCTATATACAAACCTATACTGCACTTCCAACGCTATATACCACAATCACACAAAATATTATACGAATTAATCCAAGCTATTGATGACTACTCTGAATTTCTCTCGTCTACTTACCTTAAATTTCCAAACAACAAAAATTTTAACACAACAATCACTATCGGATCCCATAAAATCTCTAATTATTCCTACCTAATCACAACTCTGACCTTTAACCACTTCTCACAACAATTAACCTTCTAAAACAAAACTTGGCCTAACCCCCAAAAAATAGCATACTGCGTTCTCTTCATCCTTTTTGCCCTAATCCCAACTAATTCAACAATCTTACTATTTACAAATTCAAACAACATCATAAAACTAATCTTCTCTATTATACCACTTTCCCTTACTACCAATAAACAATATTAAAAAACTAACAACTATTCTTATTTCTTGGCAGTTAGAAAAGCTCTTCAT